TTAGAGACATGACGTCACCAGCATTATAAACTACATCCCAAATATATGCTTGGAAACAAAAATAATGACACGAAAATTCGAATGGCAATGAATCGGCGAGAGGCCATCTTTATTTTAAACGGAAAAAGTGATGCCTAAATATGATACGTATACTGTATATAATATAATAAAACAAGCACAATGAACCGATCCACCAACTACAACTGGGTTCAAGCTATCCAGTAAACTAAAAAGCATTGATCTTTCTAAAACACATGATGAATAGAAGGGCCCAACCGGTCAAGGTTGTTAGACGTGTTCCAAGTTGCGATCCCTGACTGAGTCCCTCAAATTTAAGTGCGATATTCACAAATAATAATGTCAATATGCCACTAGAGAAAGACTTGCCGACTAAAGACTTGTTTTGAGCTTCTAAATCTATATAAATTATCAAAATACGTTTTTTCGGTTGTAAAAACTAGAACATGAAGGGAACAATGAATTGTTTGTTTCAATAGAATGCTCTGATATCAAGAGACGATGCTCCGCGGAAAGCAATACCCAGCACAGTCCGAGCACAGCGGGTAATTCACACCTTAGACAATAGCCGCTTCTCGACCGGGGATAGAGGGACTGTGATAAAACGTACAGTATTCTTAGTCTAATTTTGATTTTGACCCCAGAGTAGAGGTTGCCCTGTGTTGGGTGCTGTGGATATCTCAAGCTCATCTGATTTCAATGAAACTGATGCTCTAGAAGAACGTGCAATTCTGATTAGTTTTTGTTGACATTGTTGCATAATAATTAGCTAATTTTCAACTTTAAGGGTGTACAAATAACACATGCAACTTGTGCATATTAGTGATTTTAATGTTAGCCTTTTCACAGCTATCACACTAACCACTCATCAGATTTCAATGAAACTTGGAACATGGGTGCTCTGGGGAAATCCCCACACACATGATTAGATTAAAAATGTATATTGATTACCTTCTGTGTCTTTCTAATAAGTGCTTTGGATAAAACAAACTGCAAACTATAGATGTACAATCAAATCTATTCTTTTAGATGCAATATTTTCTATATTACAAACTTCCATACTGAGAATCATATTCCTTTCACCTTGGGCATCTCAACTTTTTTAGTTGACAATTCTTGTTTAAAAAGTGAAACTTTTGATTTTGAATATTCCTAGTTTCTACTTCATTTGCCTTCAACAAAAGTTATTTCAAAAATTTTTTGGATAGGTACAAATCATAAAATTTGTCTGATTGGTAAAACCTTCAATATTAAAATTTTCACAAGCCAAGGCCATACCATATCTTGACAACATATTAATTTTAAGGCATATATAAAAATGTAGCACATTGTGTAGTTTTCACTAGCATGAAGTCTAGATCTCTGCTGGATAAGATGTTGTAAAGGATTTATTGCCATGGAAACAAGCTTGTATTTATTACCAATACTACATCGTGTTTAGTGCTTGAACAGTCTTGTTTGTTACTTGCCTTTGTTAACTTTTACCCAAGACATTGTCTTAGCAACCCTCTTGCAGATACGTGTGTTCATGTTTTTCTCGTATCAGTTCTCAAAATCTGATGTATAAACACGCGCACCCAACCTAATGTTTGTGTAGTACTATACTTCCCCTTCATAAGACCCTTATTAAGTTATTTAGACATTTAATAAGTTGAGGGCATCCCTGGTTATACCCAGGATGTTTTCACCAGGTGTCAATAATGGTTTAGTCATGGAACTTGGTAGTTATATGGATTAATCTTGAAAATAAAGTTGTTTATTAAAATATGTGTGTAAAAATGTTCCATTGCATGAAATCTGTTATTGGTGTGGTGGCCCTGAAAAGGACAGAAAAACTTAAGTAAATTCCACGATGCATGGTGAACAATGCAGCATGGTTCTTTTGGTCCTGTTGCTACACATGAAAGAACAAATGTTAAAATATTGAACTAATCAATGTCTCTTGTTTGAATGCCAAAAATGTAACAGTCAAATCATAAAACGTTTCTTGTTTCACTTTTCTGAACAGTGTTCTTTGAGAGTATCACAACCACTTCATTGAAATCAGTGTTTAACATGAATGAGATGTGAATGGTTGCTTCAACAAGACCACTTCATTGAAATCAGTGTTTTAACAGATCATATTTAACATTGAGCTAAAAAAATTCCCAATCAATATACGGAAATTTCTGGAGAATCTGTCAGTACAACACAGCATTCTGATTGGTTAATAATCGACTTGACCTATTAGGTTAAAGGATGTTGTTTCGGTCAAATCAGGCAGAAATTGCTTTGCGTCAGTAATTTGCGTATGATTGAAAACTTTCAACAACAAAGATAATGATAAAGATCTTCATCTTTTCGAAAGTTGAGGCCCCTGGACTTATGATCGTGGAAGTATGGTATATACACACACTCATGGTAGTGTGGTATATGACATAATTCATATTTTATAAACTGTGCTGTCTGACATGTTTTGATTTGCTGAATTTCAGAGTGCCTAGAAATATTTTTAATTTCTAAAACTAAAATGGTTGTATTCAAGAATTGAGTTTAAGAATGCAAGGAAAATGCTGAGATTCACATGCATGTTAAATCATACTGTTAAATGTAAAATAAATGTCTATACCTTCGTTGTTCTTAGTATTGCATGCTCTTACATAAATGATAAGGATATACCTGTTGTCAAAATTATTCATATATTTAATGATCCGCTAGAAAACAGCTGTTGGATTATATGCGCTTCTAATAGAGAAAATACAGTAGTTGTGGTTTTATGTGTGTTGTGTTTGGATGGGTCCTGAATATCGTCAGTTTGTAACATACTGCAACCAGATGGTTTTCTCACTCGCATTAATTATTAACAACTCTACATAATGTTTTGTGCTAACTAAGTAATGAAGGTTTTCACCTAACCACATGTCAACTCGTTTAGGATGTGGTGCAAATAAATGTTTATATAAACCATATTTTGATAGACTAATCAGTTAAAAAAATTATGCAAGGACTGAACTGATTGGCTCACAGGATTAGTGCTAAGCCACGTATAAGTGTTATTTGTGTTTATTATTGTTTCATCAGTGTTTTATTTACAGAGGTAGCAGTTTATAGTTTTAATAGCTAACCCATTTTAATGTGTGGTCACTTACCTAATTACATTTCTGTCCTGTTTCCATAGCAACCACCAGTATCACAGCCATCCCCACATCCACAACCTCCACATCCAAATAATCCCATGATGCCCCAAAATCAGGTGAGTCTATTTGTTGTATTTCCTGTTTAGCATACATACTGTCCCTGTTAGATATCAAACACAAGTTTATCAATATTGTTTGAAATTCTAATTTTTGCATCATCACCCTGCCATTTATGTATTTTAATTTTTCACAATTTGTTATTTTTGTTCATCCACATTGCTTGCTATCTTCTTTTACAAGTTTGTTTGTTTGCACTCATGTGCTTGTTTGCTCTAATTTTTCAGTTACCACATAATCAACCTATGATGGATAATAATCAGGTTAGTAAAAATAAACAATTTAAAAGTGTAACGTTCAATCTTGTCAATATCCCGCAATATTTTTCCAAATGTTGGTTTTATAGTCGGGTCATTATAATACAATAAATTGATCAGTCCAGAGTATATGCAGTTTTACTTCAAATTATTTTGTCAAATCGTTTGGTTATTACACAATGTTGAAGCCAGTTTTGTTTTGAGACGAAAGGGGTCTTAATCACAAGACTCCTACCCACCCAATCATCATTCTGAAGATGACCCCTCCACTGCTTTACTATACCCCTGTTATTGCAGTGGAACATTCCACTCTAAAACATCTATAACTGAATAATTTAAAGCCTACAACTCTTACTGGTATTTACTATTTTTAAATATTTTGTTATCTTTGATTTTTTGCAGCCATTTATGTCACCAAGATATGCAGGGGGTCCAAGGCCCGTTAGAATGCCTCCACAACAGGTACTCATTTTCAACTTACAATAAAGTAAAAAAAAATGTCCATATTTCAGTATGATTAGTATGGTATATATTTTCAAATCTGCTTGAAATGTACAATATAGCAGTATATTGAGTACTGCATGCATTTAATGTCAATATTCATTGTACCCCAGAAAATTATTTTTAAATTTGAGTAGAATTTTGTATAGCATAGTCAATTTAAAAATTTTATTATGAATTTGAAAATGGTCTGTTTCATATTTTATATATTATGTCGTATGATTTGATAGTTTATGTATTTTCAGTTGCTGTTGATCAGCAAATAACTGTACTAATTCGAGAAATTTATTCATCTTTCGAAACTACATCATTTGAACTATAGAGGGTGCTATACATTCATATTTTGTTGTTGGGAACATAAAATGAACTGGCAGTAATTTGTTGATCTTTACCATTTACTATTTATGGCTTAAAAGATTTACTGAAACACTTTATTTAAACATATTTTTGAATTATTTAATTTTTATATTTTTGACAAATTGCCTCTGTTGCATTTTAATATACACAGAATCAGGAGAAAAAAATTAAGTTATAAAATTTAAAGAGTTTGTTGACAATATGTGAAAGGTGATGCTTTAAACTGAAAGATAATTTGGTACTAAAGACTGACGTAATACTCGTGAATTTAAGCTACATTGAATGAGATGTGTCTATTTAAGTGTATGTATCTAGGCCATTTAACTACAGGAATACAGTCATTTCAATAATAGAGCGTGTTAAGGGGTCTTCCTTGTTAGCCAGCGAGCATCTCAACCTTGTTTATTATTCATCTATCTAATTGAATAGAATACAAAAAAAAAAATGTTGTCGTATCTGACAATGTTGTGAGCTTAAAATTACCTAGTTTGTTTTATTTACTATTAAACAAATTTTGTTTTCAATTTACTACATGCAAGTATGAAGATCATTTAAAAAATGTCTGTTTGGGATATGCATCCCTATTTGACTGGTAGGTTAAAAGACTAACTTGTGGTGTCTTTTGAACTCTCTGGCACAATTTCTTATGTGGATTGTGCACTTTTCAAACATTAGTCACTAGAACCAGCATTATTGTTTTACTGACAATTATTGTTTACAAATTCAAAATTTGTTCTTGCAGTTGGTTACATAATTTTTGAGCAAACTTGGAATGGATTAACCAAATTTTTATCAGTATTTTGTAATTTTTTAGCAAACTTTGAATGGATTATCCAGATTTTTATCGTTATTTTGCTCTCTTAGTGCATTCATAGGATTAAAATGGTCCAATAAAATCTTATGCATGTGAATAAAATCATTAAATATGACTGCCTCTAAATAACCTTTGACATTTTATTCTTGCTTAGGTAGATTGCCAGAATTCAATTTATTAAAATTTGGATTTAAAAAGTGAAACTAAAGTCTGTCTACTTGTTTTTGCACAAGATTACTTGAATTCATATTTTCAAAATGATAGATCTGATCTGGTCATTAAGACACGTGCATGTTATGCTGCGATGATGTATATCTGATATATTCCAGTAGCTCTTATAATTTAATCAATTTACAATAGCACGTTGTAATTCAAGAATAATTAAATAATTTTCTAAAAATGATTTGTTTTGCATCTATTGAAGAAAGTCACAAAAGGACATGGAAATAGCATTTATTGTGTTCTTATAATACAAGGGTAATTTTTAATATTTTCCTAAAATTCTGTAAAATTATAATCTATGAATGATTATGTATAAATAGAAATGTGTGACCTTTGACACTATTGACCTCAAATCGCAGTATATGCAAATAAGTATTGTATGACATATTTTTAAATACAACCAATAGCAAAATGTGGTGTGTACAGTCATAAAGATGATGCACAATTGTTTCCTCTACCATATGTGTATATCTGATAGCAGTGGTTTGCAGTTGGGAAAGCTAGTTTTCAATCATGGTGTAAAAAAACATCAAATTTAATATTAATTTGTGACAATTTACAAAACTGTTGAATTACATAGAAAGTATTTAAAGACCTGTTTGATGGTACTACAAAAGTAATTTATTTTAGTTACATTTCCAGTGGCACAAGTCTAGTGCCCTCTATATTTTTATTTTATTTTTTACTTTGTTTATCCCGGCTTGAGTTGAGTAATAATCTATCGTTTTTCTGAAGTTGGTAATTTTTCCATTGTAATTTGTGTTTCAGTTTATATTTATATATTTTGTTTGCATTCTAGCCTCCAGGGGGAGTACCGGGTTCACAACCACTATTACCAAACACAATGGACCCCACGCGGCAAGGTAAACTTATCTTTCTTAACATTATGATAATTGTACATGGAAATATTCAATAGTGTCTCTCTATTGTATCATTTGACATCAAATGAATTGATAAGATTTATAGTATTGAGTGTATTGTGTATTTTAGTTCGTGGTGAATTCAGATTTGCAAAATTTTGTGTGATTGTGTTTTTCTTTCTTTTCAAAATGCATGGTGCCAGTTTTATGCCCCTTGTATTTGTAACTTTGTGAATGAAGGGAAAGAATGTCAGTCCATAAACATTTTTGTAAAACATGTTTTTGTAATTGTTGACTTATAATGGAATCATTTCATGCATGACTTGTGTAACTCTTTGCTTCTTGTGAGGATGGACTCTTGGAATAATTACAATAGCTCCCTCTAGTGTTGTAATCTGTTATTTCTCCTGTTGTCATAGTGTACATTACTGATCCATGGATTACCATGCTGCTCTATTATAATTTTTTGGGTTAACTGGCACACAATTTCTTGGCAGTTTTAATGATTTTCAAAAATGTATGTACACTAAGATTCTAATTTTGTGAGCCATGCTGTCATCCAATGGTAATGAACAAAGCAGCTGCCAATTACACTGCAGGTCAGCAGTCATTGACGATGCAACAGAGCAGTAGTCATGACGATG